TTCCTTCCTTCCTTCATTTCTTCATAGGTTTAATGGCTACAACAAGTAAGTTATCAGTTACCAACTTCCACACTTGCAGACAAGCGTGTAACACATGTTTGGGCTCTTTGGATAGTACCGTACACATGGGAGAGCACTATTAATACTTCAGTCTGTTGTGGGAATCACTACAACAGGAGCCTTTCCATCCACAGAAGGCTTATCTGTCTCAGTGACGATTACAGAGATAAAGAAGAGATAAAAAATCGACTCATTTAAATCTATGTCAAAGGTGTGTAACAGAGTTTATATCAGGGAAATATTCCATGGTTTACGTTAGCGTTTTCCTTCACCGTCGTTGTCGTAGCTGAGGCGTTAGCGTCACCGTTTACAGCATGTCGCGCAAAGATAAGTTGATCATTAGCGTTCAGGTATCGGATCGAACAAGCTATGGTTGCTTTTTTTCGATGTTTGAACCTGAATATTAGAGTATCGGATCGCGACATCGCTACTTCACGCTGACTTCCTTCCTTTACCGTCAACTCCAGCCAATCATCAGCCTCCCACTGTCATTCAGTATGACATCTGAATTTAAAGGTCAGCTGTGTGATGTTTACACAACAAACCAGACTCTCTTGTCACAAACGAGTCCCTGTGGGTGTTTCACTGGCTCCAGGATCTGACACCAGACGTGTATAGTATGATGATGATGATGGTATTTCCACTGAAAGCGGCTCCAGCATCTGTGTCCGTCGGGGACCGTTGGATGGACGGGACTCATTTGTATCAGCAGCTGCTCACACTTGTCTCTACAGAGGTGGGAGAATGCTAAAGGGATTTAGCAGAATGCTCAAGTGCAAAGTGATGTAACCCAAGGCCAAGTGTGTGTGTGTATATTGCCCCCTTTTCCTTGATGTGACAAATGTAGAGCAGTAGGAAATAAAACAAAATACTAGAGCTGTAATCCCCCATAGAAAGTCTTGGTCGCATGAAGCAGAAATTGACTAATCATGATAAATTTATAATTAATTTTGTCTGCCTGAATTAATTACAAACGAACATAAAGACTAGTAGTTTTTTTTTTACCTAATTATTTTGCATCATTTTAGCTGATGATTTCTGAAAATATCTAAATATGTAAACTGATGACATCATCATATTGTCAATATTTAGACAATTGTTTGCCATCGTTTTACTCTGTGCTTATCCTCCCACGGAGTGAGACAGAACACGGCTGAAAACCTTTGCTCTTAAACACAAAAAGAAATTCCACAATAAGAAATAAAGCGATTTATCGAACGAACCAGATCAAGATCAGTGTGGAAGTCAAATTTAAAAAGTTGAAAAATAGAGGAGGTTTAGCATCCAGCGCGGTCTGGGTGTATCTGAGGGATGCTGCCGTCGTTGTGCTGTGTGATTAACAGACTTCTGCAGCCACACTCCTTCATCAATGTAAACTCCTCTCACCTGCTCACCATGTCAGTCTGCTCCATTGCAGTGAAAAGTTCCACCTCTGCTCAATCACTCCTGCAGACACGGCCCCTAATCAGCATAACTGCTTCCACCTGCTCCACCCAGGACACATACAGCTACACTCCTTGTCAGATTGTCATTGCGCCCATGCAGACTTTCCAGCATTTCCTAATGGCTTCAGATATTGACCTGACCTACCTTTGACCTCTGTCGTGTCTCTGTCCAGGTAAACCCACCAGTCTTCTGTTCCTGACTACGATCCTTGCCTGTTGTTTTTTCCTGATTGCTCGTTAGCCTGTGCTAGCTGAAGTGAGTCTGTTTCCTTATATAAAAGACTGTGATAAAACCAGACCTGGTTAGTTTGGTGATGGTGATGTAAAATCCAGAGGTCACATTCCATTGTGCGCATGGGGGCGCTGTGTCACAGTTCCAAGCTAACTACAATCCAAGTAGATAGCTTGACGATTTAAGGTGATATGTCATGTTTGTTATCAAGCTGTGATATGTTTTCCGATGTATTTATTTTAAATGCTCTCACCCTGACGATATCTTTGACATGGTAGAAAACACGGGGGGGCTCTTCTGAAGATAAAGTGTTACCTGTGAAACAGTGGTGTTCTAAAAAACACCCATTAGCACTTCAGGTACATGTCAAAATATCAACCAATCAGAATTTTGGTCAAGCCAGAACGTATCGACCAATGAATTGACCGGTCGACTCGGAGAATACACCACTACAACACACACATTTAGCTGTTACCATAAATCATATGTGTCAAACTCAAGGCCCGGGGGCCAAATGCAGCCCGCCGAGCTGCGTTGTGTGGCCCGTGGGAGCTTAAAAAGCATTAAGTAAAGTCCATGCAGCAGAGTTTCTTAACCTAAATAATTAAATTTTTTTTATCATCAATGAAATAATAATCAATTGCAGAAACATGTATTAGTCTGTAATGGAGTAGTTACATCTATACCAGCGGTGACCTATCTTTTTGTTCCAAGGACTGGTCAGCCAGTACCACCCGTTAGTACAGACCTGTACCAAGGTGCTGAGCATTGAAGGATCATTACATTTTCAAAATAAAACATCTTTTAGACTCTATTCTGTTTGGATCAGAGTCTGAATGATGTATTATTTTAAAATATTGCCTTGCCTGGACTTTCCTTGAATGAAGTAAATCAGTTTACATTAAGTAAATTTTTTCATTGTGTCCCACTGCGGCCCGGTACCAAATGACCTATGGACTGGTACTGGTCCATGGACCGGGGGTTGGTGACCCCTGATCTATACAGTCTTCCAGTTGAGTTTGACACCCCTGCCATAAACAGTGGCCTGCGACAGTGTTCAGCTTCTATAAACTGCTTGCGGAAGTGTGTGAAGAAAACGGCTCGTAGTGCTGTGCATCAAACTATATGTAACAAATAAAACATGCAGTTTGATACTCAACATCTGAGCTGTTTCCAAAGCCATTCACAGAAGTTCCTGTTGGGAAGAAAGTCAGCGTGTGTGTTGGCTCTGGCCAGAGATGATTGGTGGTCTGTGAAAGCAGGTAGTACAGTAGTGAAGTTCGTTACTCGCACATTACATTGATACGTACTGGTGTTAGCTTGACAGCCTCACTGGGTTTCTCTCGCACGTCGTTACAGATGGCAACCCATGTCGAAGGGCCTCAAGTGTTTCACATAATGACGCTTGTGTTCAATTATCACTGTGCTAAATTTGCAGCTGTGATTATCTTGTGGCAACCCAGTCACATCAAGGTTATTTACACGGCTGCAGTACCGCTACAGAGACCAGAGCGGTAGCGTCGATGGGGCCTTTCATTTAGATCAGGCATGGGCAAACTTTTTAATTCACGGGCCACATCGGGTCCTAAAATTTGACAGGGGTGGGGGGGCGGGTCAGGAGAAGAGCGAGCGGCCCGGATGGTGACACAAGATATAAGTACTTTTGGCAGGCCCGATCTAAAAGCCCAAGGGGCCGTATCCAGCCCCTGAGCCGTAGTTTGCCCACGCCTGGTTTAGAGAGATCGCATAGTCAAAAAGTATGAGAACTCCGCGTATACAACCTGGTGTTAGTATGTGGTGGTGACACAGCACCACATACAGGCCTGCCATATGTACTACAAGAAGTGGAGTTGTTGAATATACTAGCGCCGATTCTGCTCGAACGGGACAACCGCATCCAGAGGCTCCATAGTCGTATGGCAGCCGTGTAAAAATAGCCTTTGTTTCTTGAAGACGTTTTCACGTTTCACGTTTCCTGGCATACCTCGCCAGGTATGTCGTTCCGGTAATACCAATGTCCTATTGAACGACCCAAATATCTGAGCTGAAATCATAACAAAGTCAGGTTAACATACATCCACTTTAGTACAGATTGTATGAAACTAAGAAAATTGACAAAATAATTCATGGCATTCCAGAAAAAAAACAAATCAGAGAGGTTATTAATTAAAGTTCAAGAAACAACAAAAGAATCAAAATAATCTTCCAGAAATAGCAATTATAACAAATATATATAGGTTTGTTACACATTATCAAGAGAGTGAGAAGCTATAGGGATCCTGGTTTGAAGCCAAACGGTAGAAACACCAAATATTTCTTTGCGATTACTATTTACATGAATGCGTATAACGAAGGCCAGGGGAACTTTAAGTGTCAACCAAATCGGTATCAACTACAGCTCTGAAACATGTCCCTCTGAGAAATGATGTGCACCGTCCTGCGCTGACGCCGCCTCCACTTCGCCACCGTCACATACGCTTTAGGGCCATTGGTGAATTTCAGCATTAGTCTGGGTGACCTCAGGCCCGGAATCAATGTCATCATAAGGTTCATCAGTGTCAAAAAGCACACCACAGGAAAAACAGATGGCTCGCCGTCCGCCACAAAAGTATTGATCCATCATTCTAGCATACAGCGTTAAAACAAATTTTGCAGAGTTATATCCTGGAGACGGCTTTGTTTACATCCTCTGGTTTAAGGACGTACATTGGATTGTGCGACATTCACTTTCTTTCATTTGTGTTGTTTTTTTTTGCCTTCATTGTGGCTCTCATAATCTCACGCAACTATGTCGTAGATTATCATGTTACCATCGTGTTAGCGTAGCGTGCTGCCCCCTATGTTGAACCGGCAAGTTTGCAAAGCCAGGCTGTCCCTGCACTTTAGCCTTTGCTTTCCTTTCTTAACGAGTACCTTAAAGGGTAGGTCAAAGATCACTTCAAGGTATGTTTTTTTGGCATGCTTCATGATCAGGTTCTAGATCACTGGCCTAGTTCTAAACTCCCAGTCCTACAGTATTTTGTGTGTGGGTTGGGCAACAACTACTGTGACTTTTTTATTCTTTAAAAATATTTAGTGGGTTTTAAAGTGTTGCAGAGGCCGTGGATTTCAAACGATAGTTTTGAAAAGTCATCCTGCGTGCCTTAGCTTATACGAAAAGCATCCGATTCTCAGTATATCAGTAGAGTATTTCACTTACCCTCTAAATGCTCTGAGTTCAGTGGCTGGGCCTTGGCTTCTTTACCGTTGGTCAAAGAGGGGGAGCCGCGAGCTTGTTCGGCTGTAAGACTCTCAGTCGGTGATCTTGACGCTGCATGATCAGGTTAAACAGACACATCGTGAACTACCGTAATTCACCAATACGCTCTCTTCGTAGCCAAGATGAGAGAAATTAACATTTACTCTAAAACAAATAAAAATAAGGTTGAACGTTTATCACTCACTTCTTTTGTCCAACTCCTCCATTTCGTTTGCGTCACTGTGGACTTCTTCATAATCTCCACTTTCGATCTCTGCTGCCTTCCTTGACAGCACTTTCTCTTCTTGAATGAAAAATACAGCAGTGGGCATTTATTTTAACCACCACCATCTTACTGGGTTGTTCTGTTGTACTGTGAAGTATTCTTAATATCCAGAAACACTGACCTCCAGTGGCAGAGGAACTAAAGGGCGGAACATTGCAAAAACTACCAGAAGAAATTAAAATAATATGAAGGTATATTTATTAGCTTTTTAAAATATTTACATTATGTTTAACCTTTCTCTAAGATGCTATTTATATTCTAACTGTATTTGCTGTTACCACTATCATTATTTCTATTCCACTGAATGCGCCGCATAAAAACATTTTCTCTTCTCATTTTTTTGCTTACAACCTAACCGAAGTGAACTACTTCACGTAAATAGCTTACTACTAGCCTTCATCTTGTCAACTGATTGAATGACTCACTTTTGGAAAGAGATGTTTTTTTGAATTTCTTGACGATGCAAATTGAAATGATCAATGCAACGATCAGAATCGGCAAACCCAGCCACTCATAATGACCCGCTGTCGATGGCGGACTACTGGCAGGTTGAAGATACTCATACCCTAAAAAGAGACACAGGTGTAAAGTCATTGTTGTTGATTGTAGCGTTGGTACCATTTTTACATTTTTAACATCATCTCTTTCTGTAAGACTTATGAGGTCATCCGTCGCGAAGGCGTGTCGTTTCATCACCGTTACAGTAGATCTCAGCAGGTCTGACTCCTGTACACGATTTCGAAGTGACACAGTATCTGATGTCTTTGTGATTTTGTTCGCATTTAAAAGACATTTCCAAATTCACCTGCAACAAAAACATATCTTCAACAAGAAAAGCGAGATCATTGCAGGTATAAAACAAAACCCAAAACCCAAAATAAAAAAAAAAGTTATAAAAAAATCAGTTAATAATATATGATACAATATAATAATAAATACCAGAAACGATACTAACAATAACAATAATTACAGTGGAACCTCGAGATGCGAGCGTCTCCACATACGTAGTATTTGCGATTTGCGTTATCTACGTGATTTTCTCTCTATTTTGTGCATTATTCTTCATAATAGTGATGAGTCCTCAGAGAGTGGGTGGTTAGGATGGTAGTGATATGTACCATCCTAAAGTAAACATTAAAAACATGTTTTTTCCCATTTTTATTAGCACTAATAAGGGCCGGAATGTAATTTTTATTTTTTGTGTGTGTTATTTCTTATGGGAAAAAATAGTTTGAGATACATGTACATCGAGTTACGAGCTCGGTCCTGGAACGGATTGTGCTCGTATCCCGAGGTTCCACTGTAGTTTACATATGGAAACCAATTATATTAAAATTTTAGATTAAGTAATTATTGCATTCTATTATTGTAGATTTCTTAAATACGCATAAGCAGACAATTTATGGTTTAACAAATTATCTCCAGGAAAACCAATACTACCCAGAATTAAAAACATATTGCAGGTATTCTGAATAGAATACAATGTGTAATTTTAAGGAAGGATCATAATCAACACCATGTTAACACCCATTATCACCAGCATGATATTTACCTTCTCTGTGCTCTCCCTGGTTCTTAAGGTTTGGTTGTGACCGTTACAGTCAAGTGCACGACAAAGATCCTCGCTTGTCTTTGAGGAGAAATCCATCGGACAGACTCTCTCCAACTTATCTCCATAACTGATCTTGAGCTGGCCCCCACATCGTTGGTCAGTACTGAACCAAACAGAACCTGTTTGAAAGAAAAGAAAGAAAAGTGTTTACAATACTGAACTGAAACAATTTAGTAACACCGACCGCAACGGGAATTTCTTGGACAGAAAATAAACCAAACACATCCAATGTCGACATTGTACACTTCATTTCCGATTACGATATCAACCAATACCGATATATACGCAGCTGTTTGGGTTAAAGGCGGAGTAAACATTTCATTGCTGCGTCACAATGACAATACAGAATGTGTATTCTGTGTATTCAGTGCAGAATACAAATAATAGTTTCACTTTACCTTCAGCATTATTTTAGGTCACACCAAACCCAGACATTGCGTCTTCCGGATTTCATTATCAGAGGAAAAACCGATACTGATTCTCACCGATATTACATAATTAAGCTAATATCATCCGTTAATATCGGTTGGCCGATATATCGGACATTCCTTGTTAAAACATTTCCATAGCTATCCGATGATTAATCTGATTACAATTTTTAATTGATTGACAGCGCTAGCTCATCTATTTATATGTTTATTTTGAACATAAAAAAAAATATTTTCTCAACAACAGGCGTAGATACCTGCACTAATTGTCATCTAGAAGCTTACTGTACAAAATGGAGATGTGTTTTAGTCTAACCGATGCAGTTAACGGACACCAGCTCTTTCCCAGGACCACACATTCCCGTTACCCTCCAACACTGGCCAAGCTCATGATGGAAATGGTAAGAATGGTAGTAGTCAGCATTAGATTTCGCACCTATGGTTTTAGTGGGAGTAATAGCATTGCTGCAATTTTGTTCCTGGCAAACCATGTGTGACATCTCCATGTTCCAGAAACTGTTACACACTTCTATGCCATCTATTTTGACCAGCCCGTGACAGTTTTCTGAAAGGCTGACTTTTGGAGTATCTGGGGGTAGAGGTAGAAAAGAGAAATAGAACATAGTCAGCACGTTATCATATATAAAAATGATCAGTCTCATATATTAACTCGGTAAAACAAGATCTGCATCTAGTATTCTTGGACTTCAAATGGGATAAGAAATGTTTTTGGCCCGGTATACCTGCCGAATCCGGCAATACGATATGTATCACCATACAAGGGCAGCCATAGGATACACTGCGATATACTGCAATACTATTGGTACGTTGACATATTGAGGGTTTTTTTAAATAATTAAATTGTAGGAAAACTGTCAGCGTAGTAAATTAAACAATGTAGTTGCATGCTTAACATCAGGTTACTGAATGCTAATGCTATCCTAATTCCAGACTAGGCTTCAAATTCATTGGTATCGGTACTCGAAGATGTCACATCCAAGGCCCGCAGATGCCATATCTAGGCCCGAGGCTACTGTATTTAACCTTCAAAATAATAATTTAGATCTAACAGAATTAGCCCGCAGGGATTTTGAAGTGGGTTGGCATATTTTTTTACATGTTTTGGGATAGGAACGTCATGTCTCAGGTTTATATGTGTGTGTTTATATGTTTGAAATGAGTAAAGATATTTTTGGGGGTGTTATGGATAACATCACCTTAGCCATCAGTTCCACAGATCTGTCTTTAGAGGCAAAGTATCCTTATGCTAAAAGATGAAAACTAGTTCCTGATTCTATTGCATCCAGATTGGACTACTTTAATTCTCTGCTGCCACGTTGTCCTAAAAAGTCTGAAAAAAAAATCTAAATGTTGCCGTGTGAGTAACAAGTACGAAAGAACCAGAAGAGCTTTTAGCTACCAGGCTCCTCACCAGTGGGGGTTAAGGAGTCTCTAAATTCAAAGTTAGACCTGGTTAGACCAGGCCTAGACTCCTGGAGGAACTCCCAGGGTACATTTTATTTCCCCTATTCTTCTGTGATTTCTGTGAGATGTTGTCCTGTTAAAGGGGAGGTTTTCTTTCTCCCAAGGCAGTTGCCAAAACACTTGCAGTGTGTGATCTAATTTCATTTACCTTAATATTTTAAGGTGCTCTGCTCTATTTTGTACTGTTGGCATGAGCTCCTGTTCCATTGTTTTTGTGTGAGGGTCCATTGAGGCAAATGTGTTTTGTGAATCTGATATGGTATAAATAAAGGAAACCAAAGCGAAACCTAAAGTCCTACCTTGACATTGAATAAAGAGCTGCTGCTTTTCTGAGGGTGGCGTTGGCTTTTCACAGGCCCAGATGTTTGTTTCGTTATTTTCACAGCGAAAGCTCCCGTTCCAGAACAAAAGCTTCTCCGTGGTGTTGTGGCCCTTCAGTGACTTGAAGCCACCACATTGTAAATCTAAACAAAGCCTCTCCCCTTCCTTTTCTGTCCATCCTTCGACAGCCACAGCACTTCTCTGTCCTTTTGAGTAAACTAAGACGGGTCCACTGCAAGTGTTGAGGGTTCTCATTTTCCTCCAGCCTAAGGTGAAAAGAGACAGGAGACAGAAAAAGAACATGAAGAATTCATGATTAGTACATGATGCAAAAAGTCTATTTTTACAGAAATACATCTTGGTATAATGTTAGGGTTTGACTGGATGGATGGTTGGACGGATGGATGGTTGGATGGATGGTTGGTTGGTTGGATGGATGGTTAGTAGAGTGACCAGGTGTTCCTTTCGTGTCGGGTTGCGCAACAATTTTAAGGTTGTCTCGCAAATTAAAACCTTGTTAGACACTTTGAATTTTCAAAGACTGCCCAGACACTTTAAGGCACAAGCGTCAAACTCAGGCCCGGGGGCCAAATCTGGCCCACAGTGTAATTATATTTGGCCCGCGAGATCATATCAAATATGTACTAGAGTTGTCCCTCCAGTATATAGACCCTATATACTGCAGAATTTGTAGTATTAGCGGTGTATGCGGTATGTTATAGAGCATACTTCTTTTTTTTACTACAGACAAAGAGACATAATAAGAAATGAATACTACTGATGCGTGTTTTTTTTCAAATTTAATTTCTCATGTGTTTATAATATTAAGCTTTGGTCATTCCAGATTCAATGTTTACGCTAAACTAAAGTTTGTTTTTTCAAGTTTGGCCCGAGACTTCATCCCAGTTTTGAATTTTGGCCCACTGTGAATTTGAGTTTGACACCCCTGCTTTGAGGCATCTGTCTCCCATTGGTGCTCAGAGTCCCCCCCCCTATATTGATATCCATTAGAAAGGAGCAAGAACAAGAGCACACATGCACTCTAGAGTCTTGCAGTGTGTGCCCGTGACAATAGCACACGACACGGAAGAAAGAAAAAGAGCAGATGGCGGACAGAGGAAAAATTGGGTTCATGAGGCTGTGCAAGACTTATATTATCCTTGCTTACACCCATACACCCATAAAAAAATCTAGAGATATAGGTTAGTTAAGTAAATCAAGATATAAATAGAGATATCACATTGAATTCTAAGTTTGTTTTAAATTTTCAAAATGCGCCCCCTGGTGGCAAACGTTGATGGAAAGTAATACCTAATACGTATATAATAGTAATATGATGTTTATTGACCTGGTAACCCTGATTAGCAGAGCCTTAATGAATGGATTCAAAGACAAAGACAGAAGAAAAGATAACTAGAGATAAGTTGACAAAAGGACACGACGCGTACAGAACGTCGAAGAACGTGTCAAATAAGAATGGCGTCATACACAATGGCAAGTTAGACAACCTGAAACCTACCAGTGCACTTGAGTACAGCAGCTTTACAGGCCTTGTTAGCAGTAGAGACCTCACACTCAGACAAAGATTGGCTGTTTCTATTACACTTGAGATTTGAAAACCTCGTGTTTGCCGGGGCGGGTCCAGTGTCTTGAGTGATTTCAACTTCTTCACCACACTGCAGCTCTTGACAAATGGCGTTGTGCACGTTCTTAGAATGATCTTGTTTGCAGACTGACAGCCATGTGTCTTCTTGGAAAACCTCCAAATTTCCAGAACATCTGTCCACGCCGCTCAACTTGGGTTTGAGGCTACCTACAAAAAAAACCGAGAGTGTCAACTATATAACTATGTTTTTATGGACAAGCCACTTGTTATGTTAATGAAGCAACAAGGTAAATAAAAAGAAAGTGAATACATAAGCGATATGAAAATACGTTATTTATACCTGAACAAACCACATAGGCTGGTGTACAGATGTCGTGCTCTTCGCTCATAACAAAAATACTTTGTGTCAGGTTAGTGGTGTGTCTGGTCTGGTGCAACCTCTTGATCGTTGTGTTTGTTTTTGGTAGTATTTTACTTGTTTTCACAACTTTCTCCCCGCACTGGAGGCTTTTACACAAATCGGGATATACTTGTGACAGGGATTCCTGGCATACACTTCCACACTTCCCATCCATACAGATGGAGACTTCGCCCCAGCACTGGTGCTGCAGAGAGATGGTGATTTTTTCTGCAAAGCATAAAACATGAAGGAAATCCGTTATCATTAGTTAGGCCCAGTAAACGTTTGTTAGGATTAAGCAAAGACTGACTAAAATGTGATCAACCTGTACATCCTCATACTGTTTGTGGATATTCTCAGGGTATCGTAATAATCTCAAAAGCAGTTTTTAAAGTAGGCAACTGGAATCACCTCAAGTAAGTTGAAGACGTTTCGCCTCTCGTCCAAGAGGTTTCATCAGTTCTACTGTCCTGGAGAAGCCTCTTGGCACGGGAAGCGAAAAGTCTTCAACTTACTTGAGGTTTCGCCAGTTGCCTACTTTAAAACTGCTTTGTGCAGGTCCCAGATAACGTTGCCGAACAAAACATGGAGGTTGAGGATTGCCAAGCAGAGAGCTCCCGTGGAGCACGGGATTCACTGCTCATGGAGCTAACAGTACGACACACACCGAGGTCTGATCAGCCTGCGGTGGGCCCGCCTTGAGTGAGGGTGTATTATGGATTATCGGAAAACTGACGCAAGAACTGGGTATCTATTATCAGGGACACTAACATATACAGTAGTCCTAGTACACATCCAAATGTAGCCAGATAACATTTTCAGTATAAGCATTCAAATGAATCATAGAATTCTCAAATTCTGTCGCTTGTATTTAAATTATTGGTTAAAAAGCAACTGGTTGCAGATTGGATCAATGGCTCGTCCTTATTTGCAACCATTAATCTAAAGTAACTGTTACTCAAAGTCAATTTTAAATTAAGTAATTTTTTACTTTACTCAAGTAGATTTTTACATGGGTACTTTTACTTGAGTAAAATTTCAACAGAATTTACTCTTTTTTTTTTCTTTTTTTCTTTTAGAACATTTTGCCACCTCTGATGACAACCCTAATCATACCAAATAGTTAGCCAAAACTGTAGCTAAGTGAACGGCTAAAAGTTTTCCAAAAGATAACTACACGTTATTTAAGAAGGTGGGTAAAAAAGAGACCTATTTGTCTAACACAAAAGCAGATTGTTACCTGAACACTTGACTGCAGCAATGGAACTGTTGTGGTCAGATGGCTGCTCCAGATGAGTTTCACAGTCGAACAGAGATTTGGCACCAGGGGAGCAGTTGTAGGACTGATCCCAAACACTTGTCTGATTAGTGATGTTGAGGAAGGAGGCATAGAAGGAGGAAGCGTTCCCACAATGCTTCTCCTGACACACAACGTTTGCTGACTCTTGATTCCAAGTGGCATTTGACCCAGAAAGCCAGTACGTTTGATCCTTTTTCTCTATCACTACCAGGCCAGAACATGGATCATCGCCTTTCAGAATTAGAAGCTTGTGCTCTGTCAATAAAACAAAACACAAAAGTGTAATTTGTGGCTGTTTCAGCTAAACTTGAAATGACGGCGCAGATGTCGTAATGTCATTGGTGCTGGTAGTAAGAGTAGCATTGGTGCTAGTAGTTGTAGTACTAGTGCTAGTTCCAGGACTAGCACTAGGAGTAGTAATATAAACCGGGGTTCTCAAACATAAGACCTGCGGGCCAAAACCGGCCCTCTAGGGGGTTGAATCCGGCCTGTTTGATTAATTTTGAAAATAAAAAAAATGCTCAAACACCCTGGACCCTGAACCAAAATGAGTTTGACACCCCCCTGCTGTTACATTGTTATAGTGAAGTAACTAACTTGTTTTTATTTACTACTACTAAAGAATACTAAAAACTAGTACTCACCCTTGCATGTTATTTCCAATGGTTTTGCATCAAGTAATGATGTTGTGGCATTTTCTGTAATGCACTCCGAAATGTGTACAGCGTTCTTGTTGCACTGCAGTCGGTACGGAAAATTCTTGGAGTCTGTGCTGTACTTTTCCAGTGCACGTCGACTGTTCCTGCGGCCCACTTGTTTGCAGACAACGTCCAAGTTGACATCCTCCCACTGCTCTTTAGAGACCGGCATCCACATGTTTCCGTGCAAGATTTCCAATCTACCGTTGAATTTGCCGAGTCCATCTTTTAATCGCACGTCCACGCTTTCTGCGCACGCCGTGAAAATTGGCAAGAGTGTTAAACTTACACACAAGAAAGACGAAAACGTTTCTATTCTAGCTGCCAACCAATATTAACAGACCTATACTAAAAACAAATGTGACTTAAAAATATGTTTACACTATTTTATTCTATAAAATACTTCACTTCGTTGTACAGTAGAGAGTCAGAGGCCATTTTTCTCACCTGAACAGACAACAAAAACTTTGTTATGACATGCGATTGAAAGGGAACGCATGGCTCTGCAGTGCCATATCGAAGTCTCATTGCCCAAACAACTGACTTGGTCCATGATCCCTTTTCCTTGTAAAGGCCTCTGTTCATGACTAACAACCTAAACGTCAACAAGAACATCATCACATCCACAGGGAAGCAGTTTGTTCAACAACTGTGACATGGGGCTGTTTGCTATCATGGAATTTACTCCTCTGCACTTATACAGGGGGTCCTCGCCTATGTCGCAATTTCGTTTCTGTGGCGCGACGATTTTTGCCATGAGTCGGAACTCACATGCTGTACATAAGTACGTACATGTGTCACTCGCCTACGCCAACACAGTCGTGCAATTGGCAAATAGAAACAAAATGTAGCACCAACTGACGACGTAATTATGCGCTTCGCTTGCCAGCTAGTTCGTTGGACGTCGGAATGACGAAACAAGATTTTCCTAATAAATGGCGTAGGTGGATGACGTCATAAACCGAGGACCCTCTGTAATGATGATGATATTAAATGAACCTTAACATTATGTAATAGCTACGACGGTCTCACGCTATGAGCCCGTAAAACTTACGTTAAAGAGCATCATTTTTATTGTTGATAATATTTAAGGTCAACTTACATGTCCACAGTTCAGCTCCCCACAGACAACTTCACTCTCTGCTCTGCCCCACTTGTTAGAACACACGGCCCTTTTCTGATCGTTCATCTCCACATAAACAAAACCATAGCATCTGTTGGTTATTGCCTCAAAGCTGACACTGACTGTGACTTTATCTGAAAGACAAAAGCAAATGTCGTACATGGAACGTTAACAATTCAGCATATATGCCATACACACATATTGCAATACTCAACTTGGAACTAGTACAAATTGTGACATATTTTTGTTGTCCTTTATTTTTTATTATTGTTGTGCATTAACTGCTTAAGTTTGTCCCTCTGCTGTGTCCCTCAATTATACTACTGTTTAATTGTCAGGGCACAGTGATATTCTAAACTGTAATAAAATAAAATTAAAAATATAATAAAACAAATAAACAAAACTGTAATAAATGGAAAATACAGTCGTTGATTTATAATTATAATTATTACAAAAAGATCTGCTATTGTCAAGTGTGCAAATGGACGGATAAAAAACCCCCACTGTAAATCAGTCGCTGAAATCTGGCTTTGAGTTTAGAGTAGGAGTGCCACCTGTAGGTAAATGTATTAATTCATGCCGTGTAGGTCACTGTAATTCTGATTTACAGTAGTGAAATTTCTTTTAAAAAAAACATTGATAAACATCTACATGATTGTGTAATGTAAAGAATGCAATATTTATTTATTTATTTATTGTCCTTTCTTTCTATTTACTTTTGTAAATAATGCTTGTAGTAATGTATAGGCATCTAATGATGATGAGTTATCGTGGCAAAGAGGAACACAAGTAAGTATATTCCTATATGTATTATATTATATATATACACATATGCACATATGTATATATATAATGTGTGTTTGTGTATATATATATATATATTGTGTGATACATTACTAATACAGAACACATTTTTCATACTTGCGCTACTATGGTGTATTATAACTACTTGTAACTAACTCGTTACAGACACTAGCCTGACTTAAACATGCAGCACATTATGTCATGCTATGGCAAGCTATACTTCACTATATTATACTTCTCTATGTTATACTACACTATACTAAGCTATACTATTTTATATTTATATATATATATATATATATATATATATATACTATTCTATTCTTGATATAGCACTATTTCC